CCCTTTAAGATCGGGGGTGCCCCCAGTATTTGATCAACTTAGGAGTTGTATGTTTCCACCTTTTTGTCATTATCTTTGATCTTCTTTTCTCCCGACTTGATTCTTTTAGTGAGCTCCTCGAGCATTTTCATAATTGTAGGATCAGTACCTGATCCGTCACCACTCGTCCTTTTCGGCACTTGCTCGGTACGGCGAATGATTTTCACTCGGAATTTTATGATGACTTTGAAGCTGAGCAATATCGGCCTGTTGAGCCTATAGTATCTCGGATATTACTTGGAGACTAACTCCCCCGTCTCCTACACCCTGTGTTCATTGGCCACCAGATCGGCCTTCCCTGCGTACATTCCCTCCGGGGTCTGTACCTAAGTCTGCGTTCAAAGCAATGTGCGAACTGACGTTGACTGGATCGACAATCCGTACTTCCCCAATGTTAATCGGTGGTACACCGGCTCCTAGAGCAATTACATTATTGTTTTTCCAGTGGAATCCAAGACCATCGTCGCCATATACGGGTGCGTTTTGAGAGCCTGACATGTTTTAACCTAAGAACAAAAATTCTTGACAAGAACAAGTGTGAAAATAAAGTGTGTTATCAGAATCAGTACTGAAACAATCACTATTATCCTTAGCCCCACGGTGGGCGCCAAATTGCTTACCCTTAAATTTGAGTAACAATTAAACTTATTTTGTGGTTTTAAAGATATGTGATTTAATCCAATAATATTTGATAAACAAGGAATCAGATATATAAATTAAAGAATAGAGAAAGTCAAACCAGTGTGCAAGCGAATCTCGACCTTGAGCTATGGCAGCCTCGAGGTGGGTCAGCGAGAATAATAAATTATAAGGCAATTCAGATGAACAGTAAGCAAGAAGATGAGGTATGTATATTCTCTTGTCAATGATTGATGATGTTACAAATGAATGGGCTCCCCTTTATATAATAGGGGAGTCCTATATAAGATACATTTTCATTTTTAGTAGGGAATCTTATTGGACAGCTGTATAACCGCCTAGTACAAATCTGTTCCGAAATTTACGCCGTGATCTTAGGGCCACTGCGAGAATCTCGCTCTTTCTGTTATAAAACCATAACGGTATTATCTCGAGGTTGGTCATACTTGGCCTCGGTGTTCATCGAGCACTTCGATCTTCGAGTCTTGTACTCCGCCATCGGGCTCGAGCCCGGTCCATTTTGAACTTATTCTCGAAGCGGCCGATCGAGCCTACGAAATCGAGTACACCAAATTTCGATTGTGTACAGTGTGTTAACTGAAAGAACGGGAGAGAGAAAATATAAATAGCGTATTAGTGTATACCATAAATACCTATTTTGCTATAAAATATAAAAAGTAGCTATAAAAAATATTTTAAAATTATTTTGGTTTATAATAAATAAGGTGTATACCTTTGCTATAGGTAAAATTTTCTTAATTTAAAGGAATCTTTACATAAATAGCTGCCCGATTTTACTATTTACTTTTCCTATATACTATTTAAAGTAGAGCATAAACTCCAAGACTCAAATCAGTAATGTCATTTTGAAAAATAAGCGCATCACAATTAAGAAAATATATAATAAAACAACTGAAAATTAAAAAGCTCATAGCCGGTGTATAAATGTTACTAAGTGCAGCAGAATGGCAAAGAATCCTCGCCCTAATCAAATGTCTTGAATTCGAGTTGTGGAACGAAGTCCCCTTTCAAAAAAAAATGTTAAAACTCTATATTGAGCTTTCTACGCTGGGAAATCCGCTTAATGAGCTCAGTGCATTCTGAATACCCGATGGTTGAAAAAAGTGTATAAACCATCCAAAATTTTACTCTATATAGATTATCACGCTCCTTTATTTTTTCAACTTCTTATAGTATAAAAAAGAAAAAACTCAATTATACAAGCAGATAGCACGGGCTAGCCAGTTTTCGTAGTGGTCATTCAAAAATAGACAGCGTTTGTAAAGTCATTGAAAAATATTCACTATTTTGCTGTAACACGGAAAGTTCCAGCATCATATACTGGAGATCGGTGCACCTGTGTATGAACTTCCAGCATATTATGCTGGAACTCCAACACGCGGAAAGTTCCAGCATAATATACTGGAGATTGGAGCACCTGTGTATGAACTTCCAACATATTATGCTGGACCGGTATATTATACTGGAACTCCAGTATATTATGCTAGAAGTCCAGTATCCTGTATAATATACTAGAGTTTCAGTATATTATGCTGGAGTATTTTTTGGATTTTGAACAATATTTTCGTTCAGATTTATCTTTACATGAAAAGTAGCTAAATTTCGATTACTATTGAAAATGTGGTTATTTTTGAATGATCACTCGTAAATCTGGCTATTTCTAAATCTCCCAATGACGAAGCACATAAAAATAGCACGGTATAGCCAATTTTCGGACTGGTCATTCAAAAATAGTCAGCGTTTACCAAGTCAATGAAAAATAGTCACTATTTTGCTGCAATAGAGACCGGTCCAGCATAATATACTGGAGTTCGGTGCACCTGTGNTATATATGCTGCTACTTTTCTCCTTCCTCTCAGTTTATTTTAATCCATCTATAAAGAAATAGTTAAGTACCATAAGATTGTACACAAATATTATTTAAAAAGCTTCACAGTGAGTATCAAGTTCTCAAGAAAAAGTTTAACATACTCAAAGGCTCATGGTGATTCGAACTTTGATATTTAATCCGACAAATTCAATTGTAAAAGTTGTCTCAGTCAATTCATTTAGTATGTTAGTGAAGTCTTGGTCTAGACTCTAGTGCTTAATTAATGTGTCAATTTGGAGGCAATCATATCAACATAAGCTTTGTATGTACCTAATAAGTTTTGCGTAATGGTAGTGAAACTGTATTGGTGAACCAAGATGTAAAAGAATTAGTTTTATAAATACGTACCAATTATAGGTTAAAAATTATTAAGAACTTTTCTATGCTATAATGCTAAGATAATTCTTGTTTTTACTAGAGAAATGTATTTATGTTTACTACATTAAGAGTTTACTTTGAGGATGTTTTGCCGTTTTTAGTACTGTACCGATGATGTGCCGAGAAGTGCTTTGTTGGAATTGGATTGAAACTTAAGACCATAAGCTCTAATAGTTTACTGGATAATTGAGTTGTGGGACATTCGCGGCCATCCAAATACTGATAATATACATAAAATAATATATAAATTACCTTATAAGTTATATTAAAATTATTATAGTGATTAATAAACGTGGTAAATGAATGTTGTATGTGTAATGCACAAATTATGTAGGGAGCCAGATATTGTATTGTTGTTCAACATTTTGATGTAAACGAGCCCTTAATGTTACTTCAATCGGGTTTGGCTACCATCCAAAACAGAACCGAATACAAGATTGAGGAACAATTAGATGATAGTACGCTTAAAAGCTAGTAGTAAAGTAGAAAGGAAGTTATATCATAAATGGATGATAGTAGCATTTATAGAGACTAATTTCTGATGACTCTATTCTCCAATTCAAGTGTCGATAATTCTTGTAAATTTCGTAACGAATCATACGTGTCTGATTAGTGATCACGTTGTACAAGAGTAGTAATAATCTTAATAATTTTATTGGTTTGTTCCGATTGAAAAGGAAATTATATCAAAAGTTATCCAAATTGAGAAAGACGTATCAATTTGGAATATATTCCTATATATTTGTTGTTTTTCTTTTTATAACTAAAATAAAATGCTCCAATGGAGTAAAAAGGGAATATCTCAGCAGGAAACAAAAATTCTCGAATATAACGATGAGTGATCAATAACACCACGGCAATCTAAAATGCATTTTCAAGAGATTCAGTCCAAATTAATTGCTTTACTTTGTGCTGCATTTCGTACAATAAAAATGGAAAATCTAATTTAGATTAGAAAACAAAATGAATTTCAACTTTGATACATTTTTTTTTTCTTCTTCTTGGTGCTTATTTTCCATCGGGTGACTCATTGTCATTTTCCATTCCGTTTTTTACTAAAAGAACATGGATTAGGGAATCCTAAGTAAATGTCCCAAATGAGTTCCAATTTACCAACCTCTAGCCATTAATTATAGACTTACCAAAACTAGCCAAACACATATAAAAATTGAAAACCAAATAAGTAAGGTTCTTTCTCTCCAAGAATCACATGCAAAGATCTCCTTCCATATTTTTTAGCATGATCGGCAACATTAGATGCAAGGCGGAAAGAAAATTTCATATAAAAAAATATATATACAAGATTCCAAAAATCTAAGCAAAAAAGAAGAATTTTTAATGGGTATGATTGAATTCATTGAAAACATATAGATGAGTTAATATACAAAATTTGAGGAAGATTGAAGGTGATTTGGTATCAAAATTCATAATTAAAATCGAGTTCAAACATGTATCACGCATGTATCTCACACATGTATACATGGATATACATGTGATACACATTTGATACATATGCATATGTGATACCCAAATGCTACACAGTGTGATACACATATCATTTTTTTCATCTTCATCTTCTACTTCGAATTTTTAATTCAAACCACCTCAAAACTCCACCAAATCATCTCAAAACTGAGATTCAAGCTCCATAAAATGTACCCAGTCTATTCTAATAAATACCTACTCAAAAGAAAGCAAAAATATGACCCTTTTTTTTGCTACAAATAGCTAATTGGCTAATATTGATAATATTTGGGTAATATTAATAATATTTTATGAATTGACCAATTTTTGTTATAAACTACTTATAAATGGACATAGCCAGTAGTTACCCTAAACAAATTCTCTCCCATTACTACTCTGAATGGACTAAAGAGTCTAATTTTTTACAATTATTGTAAGCTTGATTCATATATAGCTTGCTTGGATACAAAAACCTTGCCGCTACTTCTGAAATTCCCCCCCTCTTTTTTGTACTTCTGTTATGTTCTATCACGAATATCATATACAAATTTATTACAGGGACTTTTGAATCCTAGACCTTACATCTAAATAATGTTAATCAAACCTCTTCAGCCACTAAACTGTTCATTGTTATTAATGACATGAAAATCAGAAGTTTGCTACTAAATTTGCCATTCTATTAAACAGGCATTTGTAAATGATAATTCTAATAGAGCAAAATTTCTAACTACAAACAAGTATCTAAAAAATTTTTAGCTTTGAGCTCCAAAAACTCTTAACAATTCTTAAAACTATAGCCTATGCACTTGCCTGGGCTTAAGACTTCAGCAAGATCTTGACTCGGTTGGAGCATCATCAACGGCGCTTGGTGCTTTCCTTGCCTTAAGATCATCGACGTAATTCTGGTATAAGTAAGTCCCGAAGCCCCAAATTGCCATCAGCATAGCGATTATTTTCACACCATTCATCTTGTCATGGAGGATTACGACAGCAGCAATAGGGGTGATCGCCAAGGAAAGTGTACTAATAACATTAGAGAACAATGAGGACACCACGAAAACCAAACCTACAACCCCGACTGAGCAAATCTGCCAAGCTATAGCTGTCCAAACCAGAGTCATCACATATGAAAGTTTTCCAGCAGTAAAACTACCCATTTCTCCCTGCAAAGTCTTCCATTCTCCACTAGCAAAGAGACCCACAATAGAGACACCAGTGGCTACAAGTGCTGTGTAAATTTGCATCTCCAGAACCACAGAAAATGTTTCTTTCTTTAGAACCTTTTGGAATGAAAGCTGCATAAGGGAAAGCAAGAGAGCGTACATAGCGGAAGCGCCAAGAGTAGCAAGAAATCCAATGACATATTTCCACTTAGTTACGCCTGAAGGCTTATCAGTATCATCGTTAACAGCAAGAAGAGCAGTAGATAAAGAAAGCACGACCACAGAATTCATGATTAATGCTGTGAACTTTTGACCATTTAGGAAGAAAGAAAGGACTGCGCTGAAAATCAATTGCGTTGCACAAATAAGGGAATACGTAGAAGCAGAGAGATACAATAGTCCGATGGAATATAGCATGTTATCTCCTGCAACCATTGCACCAATTACGAAATAGACTACGCTAACTGTGATGAAAGAAGCTCGATTGGAGCCTTCTGAATCATTTTGAGGAGAAGTAATGAAAAGGTAAGGAATGAAAAGAACAGGAAAAGCAGCTGTTTGGACGAGAGTGGCCATCCATTTACTGTTACCACCCTTGTCATAGTAAAATCTCCCCAAAATAACAGCAGCAGCTTGACCAGCAAGCAAGAAAATAATGTTGAGTGCCAATAGAAGCCAAAAGTGAAGACGGTTCAGTTTCGCAAGCGGATGCTGCCCGTTTGAGGCGCCATCTTTTCCCAAAATTGGTTGCTGATTATCTGCTGTTAGAACAAAAATCGAGGACATAATGAGAGTGGTATCACCAAATACAAAGAACACAACTGATCAATAATCAAAGACAAAATGCAAGAGAGGTCATAGATGGAACTCCGAGAATAGCCACTGATTGCAAGTAGTCAATTGTCCTCTCTCCCTAACATCCCATGTCTGGTGCAACAGAAATATACCTCAAATTCATAGTCACTTTGTATCCACATATTCTTCTAACAAGCACAAGCAGTTATTCAGGAACAATTGAGAAGTAATCGAAGAATAACAACTACTATTATGTCCCATTACCAAATAGAAGCAATCCAACCTCTTCTAAATTTCTCAGGGGTGCTCATTCTAGAATTTAAAGTTTATGGGCTTTGAACTTGCCGTTGAACCCATAGCCCGTCCTAGTAATTGGGTTCGCAACTAAATATGTATACATATTCAATAAATTTCCTTATACAAGTACTATGTCTAAGCTAAAGTTATTGGGTTCATCCGAACCCGTACATGATACTCTAGCTCCATCCCTGGTGCTCAAATGTGATGACTTCGTGGACTAATATGGATCATTGGATTAAAATCTAGAGAAAGGATACAAGCTTTTCATTGGCACTAGAAACATCCTAGTGCAGTTATGAAAAAGGTGCTAAATTTTAACTCTTCACTATCTAAAGAGAAAGAAAATAGAGCTTACCCCACAGCGACCTGAAGTATATGATACAACAACAGCTCAGAGCTGAAAATGAAAAAATTACACTCATACTTGACAAAACGAAGGAAAAAACATTTTATCATTTTCCCTTCTTAATTTACTTTTTGGACCAAGAAAAAGATAAGATTTTTATCAAATTAATGGATGATACTAAATGAGAATTACTGGATATCAATTCTTTATTCATAATTAGGGTAACAAAAGTTATATGAATCCTTACGATCCCTTTTTTTTTATGACCGAGAAATCCGTCTGGGGCCGATCTTTTGGACCAACCGCAGCCTTCGAAACTCGGTGGATAATGGCCCGCCCCTCTACCCTTCTCCACTTCTTAAATACCAGGCTTTGATTTGCATTGTGTGGGGCTTGAACCGTGACCTAAGACACAAATCCACCCCTTTTGGCACTTGAGCTAGGCCGTGGGGCCCTTACGATCCCCTTATCACAACACAACCCACAATACTAATAACCCAACAACAGAGTGATCAGAAAGAAACAGAAAAAGTCAAGTCACAGAGACCTAATAATCCCTTGTTCAAATTGAAACAACCAATTGACCATAAACAAACAAAAAACCCACAAAGTATAAACAAATATGATTAAAAATTTATGTGAACACGCAGAAAAAGGAGAAAGAGAGGACCTGTCAGGCTGTCATGGTGGAAAAGAAGGACGAAATTTGGCCAAACGGCCACAGCTCAGCAGCCTTAAGTCAGAGAGAAGAACGGAACTTCAATAATTTACAAATATTTGATTGTTGCAAATTTAAAGGGAAAACTTTTGGATGGAGGGTCTTCGGAAATTACACCCCCCTCNGGAAATTGAAGGCATATTTCGAAGGGTCATCAAGATGACCATGAAGGGGAAAAAGAAAGCTGAGCTGGACATAAGTGAAATTGATGTGCCTGGGTTATGATCAATGAGAAGATGACACGTGGAGACAAGTATTTGACAGACCCGTGAGGAATAAATGAGAACATCATAGTTTTCTCATTTGTGTACTACATAGATGTTTGACTTGCAGAAAAGTTAGTGGAGTACCTCTTAATTGGATTGGATAAATGCGATTAGATTCACCAACAAAATGAAAAAGGCTTAATCGCAGGAAGGTTTCGTGTTGCGTAATGTTTGTGAATTTGGATTTAGACTCGATTTATTTGGTTGAGTAATATAAGGCTTGATGTTTGGTGCAAAGACTAGTTATACAAAACTTATTATAAAAAATTACTGTATAATGACGACAATAAATAATAAGACTGAATTATGTGGTGAATAATAATAATTATGACACTAAAGTTAACGTGAAGTGTCACTAATTAGTGTGTATATGTATGTATACACACGCACAGAAAAAAGAAAAACTCCGAATCATATAAAACATAGTAAAAATTAATCAAGAATTCTTACTACTACATAGTCCATACAGTACAAGAAGCTATTATTTAAAAGTATTAATGTAATTTGAGGTGCTTTGCTAACAGTAACACACGGATTGATTTCAATTTTCACATGCTATCACACATAAAACAAGCACGAATTCTTACACAAGTTATGCAAATATTATTAACGCATAAATTGTTCTATCTTTAATTTAGAGTTTTATGTAGGGAATCAAATGTTGTAGACTTAGTAGGCGTTAGTGATGCACATTTTGAACCGGGATACTCTTTTCACAAGCCGGAAACAAAAGCGCTCCTTTCCTTTGCCAAAAATTACAGAAACAAAATAAGACGTACTATCAATTTGAAAATTTTCTTTTTAACCGTATCAATAGTTTCGCTGCATTCGAAATATCTTGTGGAACACTGGCTTGGAATATGTTCGTACGTAATTTCCTTTTTCTTTTCTATCACAACTACTATTTGTCTTCTTTAGTGAAGTAATAACAAACATCTCGTGGAATAGGTTCTCGATTCCCGAATATAGCAAGTGGTGATCAATAACACCACGGCAATCCAGTTGCTATTCACAGAATCAGTCAAAGGATAATGGGCTAGATTTTGGGCTGCATTTCGTTCAAACGGCGTAGTAAGAAGGGTGCTCTTATCACATGACAGAACGTAGAAACAGAATTTTCCTAATCAATCGAGGATATTACATAAATCATAGTCCAATAAACTAACCCGCATTCAAGATTACTAGCACTCTGAAACTGATTGATAAATGTAAAGCAAAGGCTTGAGATTAACAAATGATGCTACAATACCTCAGAACATGAGAAGTATAAATCAATAAGAACAAGTACCCTCCTGTTACAACGTTGGCAGAGGAACACAGAACTATTTACTCTTAGATAACTCAAAGTACATATCGGGATTTGGTCTACATTCCAGCGAGAAGTACAGACTTATAAAGCCGTATAATGTAGCTGCTTTTATAGTACCATCTATTTCAACCATACACAAATTTTCGCGCAAGGTTAGAAAATGATCTGCAGAAAAGTATGTCACAGCCAGAGTAGTATTGTACTAGCAAAGCTACATCCTGTTCAACCATCACTTAAGCACGTCCAACCAAAATTTCCTATTAAAGAACCACAATGAATCAACTGATAGTATGCACTTAGAAGAGTTGTTCCCCAAAAGGAGAACTGCTAAATTGCATAGGTCTAGAGACTAATACAAATAAGTGACACATGCTAGGTCTTACTCAACTAGGACGACAACCTCCTGTATCCAACTTTAACAAATAACAAAACTCAAAGTACTCAAATGTTTCGAAAGTCGAAAGAAATTTACAGACACATTTGTTATGGAAAACAAAATGTAAGAACTTGAGTTGAAAGCTATAGAATTGCAAACCATTAAATTAACAAGCACATCCTCCTGACTGTGGTTGTGATTGGGATGCATTTGGGTTGCTTGACTTGAGGTTGACATCAACCATGTCTTCTTGCTTAGCTGAAGACAGTGTTTCCATTCCTGGCAATGCTGCTGCGATTTTTCTAAAAAGAGGCTGCAAGGTTGATTATGCACTATCAGCAACAAAATAGCAAGTGGGTGCAATAATAAACAGTTCACAACAATAACTTGAAAACATCAAAGCCTGATTTTCTTAGCATGACAGCACAAATGATGCAGATTGTAGTCTCCCAATGAAAGATAAGCTTTCTCACATTTTATTGAAGCCAAGTGTAAAGCTAACATTACTTACTTTAATATTGAAGCCGGCCTTTGCACTGGTTTCAATGAACATCACATTTAGTTCGCGAGCTTTTGCTTCTCCTTCCTCGATTGAAACTTGCCTGCAATTTGTCACAGGACCAACGAGCGCGTGAGAATTCTGCCATTACTATAGCAATAATAAACTACTCATAACAGCACAAAACTCCAGTAGCAGACAACACAACACAAAGCTCACAAATATTTAACCATTTCCTTAGGCACACACTACACTTTGCAAGGAGCAAAAGATGGGCATACCCTAAAACATTCCCTTAGCTCTGGTGTAAATCTGGAGGGAGCTTAAACATAATGGACCATGATTCTCACTACAACTATCTCCTTTTTCTTCACATAAAGTGGAATTTGTAGCATATACAAAAAAATGACAATTACTTTATCACTCCATGAGGTAGACACAGAGAACAAGATAGGTAAGAACGTTAAGGATCTTTAGTAGAGACCTTGACATCACGTAGCCAAAAATGCAGTAAGAAAAGGTCAGTAAATTGAATGAGATGTGTGATAAGAGTACATAAAGGAAGGTAAAGATTACACATCACTGGTCTCAAACAAAGCCTCTCTTACCCCCCCCCCCCCCAACC